TCCAGTAAACTGAGCTTCAGTGGTGTATGATTTTCAGATGCATGGTTAGAAAAGCAAATTATATCTTGTGTAAGATTTTTTTTTATCAAAATCTTAAAGGGAATAAAGCTTAATTAATGATAAAACAGCTCAATTATCTAGCTCCATATCACTTGAGTCCTATATATAAATCAAATTTAATTTTAATAGTTTTATGGAAAGACTATCCATGTAGCAGAGGCTTGGTTTTATCCATTTATAGTTCTTTCTTCCTTATCTGGGAATGAGAATGGGGTGGATCTGACTACAGAAAAGCAATAGGAGATTGAGTAGTGATCCAGGTGAGGGCCAAGGCTGGAGTGAGAGCAGGGCAAAGATGGCAATATTACAAAGGAGAATCTTGTTGGCACATTGGCTCAGAGGACAGAAGAGAAGGAAGGAGGTGGAGATGACACACAGGCCAGGAATTTTCTATCCTGATTACAGGCTATTGTAATATTCTTGCCAACCAGGGACTTGGACTGATATAATGAGGAAAGGCTGTTTTCTTCTAAGCTATTCTCCTAATATACAGAGGCTACACTCCAGGTTAATGTGACGTATAGAATATTGAGTTTAGTAAATAGATAAAATAGGGAACTGATTTGTGTCACAGAAAGTGAAAGCTTAAGATCTAAAGAGATTTTTCCCATTTGTTCACATCACAGAGTTGTTCTCTTCTTCCTTCTTTCTCTCTTCCTGCCCCCCAGTTCCCACAAAGGAAAGCAGACAGACCTCTACCAGTATCTACCATACTTCCTTTCTCTCTCTGCCTTTCCATGGCCTCTCTTGATATTTTTCCTCACTGGCTCACCCAGGCTCCCTTCTCCTTCTGGACTCCTAACTGGCACAGGCCAGTTAACCAAGCTGGGTCTAACCAACAGCCAGCTCCTGCTACTTTGGCTTGCATGCATCAGAAAGCTACCAGGGCCACTGTACCTGCAGGCACACACATGCCCATCTCCACCCCACCCCACCCCAAGAAGTGCCAGCACAAGAGAGGAAAGAGAGTGAATGATGGTTTGGGGGTTAAGGCTCTTGGCTCAGGGGGTCAGCAAGATGAATGACCTCTGGTAAATTACGCTGCATTTCTGAGGTCCAGGCTTCAGATCATAATATGGGGAATGATAATAACACCCCCTCATAGAGTTGTTATGAGGCTGACTATCATGGGAGTAGGTGATGGTTGGACCATACTGCATAGTACCAATGCTACACCCTGTCTACTTTCTTTGGCAGTTTGCTAAACCAGACCTGGCAAGGGAAAAGCCATCAGCAGGTGGATGGCAGGAAGAGAGGGTGAACAATAGCTGATCACCCAATTCCAGTGAGGACTCAGATTACTTCCACAGCTCTGTAAACTGCCACACACCTAGCCCCGCTTTGGGAAGCAATCTATTATGGACAATCAGAGCTTTCTCTTCTAGAAACTGAGAGTGTTTCCATTGGTGGAATGCAATTTGTGTGCACGTGGACCAGTGTCCAGGTGCCAAAAAGAAGCCTGAGCCCTCCTTGAATCCCCTTCCTATACTTAATGAGAAATTGAGGTCAGGAGACTAAGAGATTCCCCACGGTCATGGTTAATCCCAGGACAAGGCCCTCTACTGAGTCACAGATCTCTTGTGCAATGATAAAGCCCTCTGACTGGCAGCTTAGACTATGGAAACAGGCTTGGTTTGAATCCCAGCTCTTCCACTGATGATAGCATAACTTTGGGGTCTATAAATAGATTTTTTTCACCTGTAAAATAAATGTCATCATAATATACAAACATGAAAGCATTCGATAAGCATGTTGTTGTTTGTTATCACTAATAGATGCAAAAAAAGAAAAAGAAAAAAAAAAGAGCCCAAGAGAAATCACGGCTGGTCTTAATCCCAAGCTCCAGCTTTATCTGTCTTCTTGTTCTCAAGACTAATCATCTCATAGAGATTTAGGCAGGCTGTCCTGGCATTGGACTATAATTCTTTCATTTGTTTTTGTTAATATTTAATACCTACAGTAGATACCTATATACCCACCCCTCAAGAACTAGGACAATGGCATTGCCATTGAAGCCTTGAGTGCCCCTTCACTCCAATCCCACTCCTTGGTAACCATTCTTCTGGATTTTACATTTATGGTTTCCTGCCTTGGTTTGACTATATCTGTACATCTCATAAATTATATGAGTTAGTTTTACATGTCTTTAACCTTAATATAACTGTAATCATGCTAGGTGATCTTTTTAACTTGTCTTTATTGCTTAAATTATTTTCGTTATTTATCCATACTAATGCAATTGTATTTTTCACTGTGTAATAGTACTCCCATTGCATGAATATGCCACAACTAATCTATTCATTCTCTTGTTGATATAAAATTGGATTATTTTATTTTCTATTAGAAATGGTGCTTCAATTTTGGAATATTCTTCATGCTCATGGAATATTCTTCATGCTCAGTTACGTCTATGGCCCATGCTGTGTCATAGATAAGTATGTCATTGCACCTGCTTACATTTTTATCAGCAGTGTATAGAACTTCTCAGTTTTTTTAAGGTTTGGATTATCCATTTTTCAACCTGGTGATTAATCGATCAATTACATGTAGATAGAGACATGGCACAGTGAGCATAGATATGCTGTTTTGGCATATGTTGTTCTTCCTGTGCTATGAAAATCATGTTTTGTGATCTCATTCCTTTTATAAGTATTGGTTAAAATTTAGTGTCCTCGATTTCCATGCTTTCACTGACCTCTGTGGGAAATCGGTTACATCTGCTGAATAGTTGGGGCAGCCTGGAACATGGTGGCTGCCACACTCCACACCGCATGGGGCAACGTGTCCAGTCTGAAAAAGTAGACTCTCATTCTCATCCTGTCAGACTAAATACAGTAAAAAGAAGAAAGACAAGTGGCTGTAAAAAGAAAAAGCAGAAGTGTAACTCTGGCCCCCAGTCTTTTTCTCTGGGGAAAATAAGAAGTTGCCAGCCCAGGTGCTGAGCAGAGTTTTGGTTGAGAGAAAAATCAAGTGGCCGATGGGTGTAGTTTACCATAATTTAGAAAGAACAAGATGATTATCATCATTCCATTCAGTGAAGCTTGGTTTTCCTGATCCTTGACGACATTCCATGTGTCTTCATCATCCTAGATTACTGGTTTCACTCAGGAACTCTGGGAAGAGGGTGGGAGGAGGTTTGGAGCTTCTTCGGGACACACTGCAAGAATATTGAGCTGCTTGTTTGGGGAAATAAATGATTGCAGGAGACAAGTGCTCTCGTTTTTCTTATGAAGATTGCCCTCTTGCTGGACTGGCCAATTAGGTGTCTTGGCCAAGCAGAAGGGCCCTACCCTTCAATAGCTCTGAGGACTCAGCTCCTAAACATCTGGTCGAACTAGAAATTCAGATGTATAATAGTACCTGAATGTGAATAATGAAGATGTACTTGGCGAGATACAGAACCTCTGTACAAAGGTGAGGCACAGGAGGGAAGAAATCCATCTCCCGCTTCCACCCCTGCCATTGCTACTGCTACTGCTCTGGCACCCCCACTTCTGCCTCCCTCCGCCTCCTCTTCCTTTTGTCTTCTCTCCTTTGTCTCTTCCTCCTCTATGTTGGGTCTGTAACAGGAGAAGTACGTGGGAGCCCTCCACTTTGTCCTTTCTGTGTATTCTTTAGACCTGGGAGAGGACTGGTCACCTGGATAATTGAGGGAACTGTGTTCCTACTCACAAAAGTGAGCAGGGCATTCCTGCTGGCTACAGGAGAGTATGCCTAGATATAAAAGGAATGGTCCTCCTAATTTCCTTTTTCCCCAATCCTAAACTGCCTTCTGCTCTCTAAATGACAAACATTTAGAGGTTTTCAGAATAGGTCAAAGGAATAGTCAAGTCTTCCAGAGGGAAGTGGACCTACCTGCAGGTGTGCTTCCCTCCTCCCTGGTCCTCGCCCCACCTGCTGTGCTTGGGATGCCCTTACTGCTCCCAGGTCTGCACTCCTCTGGGTCTGGTGAGCAGAAGACAGCGAGCAGTGGGTGAGAGCAGAAGGGGACAAAGGCAGTGAGGAGAGTGGCACCCTGTTTCTCAGGGAACTTCCAAATGGCCCGATGTCAGCATTGCATTGTTGGGAGATTGTTAGATTTGTTCTCAGCTGACATTTGGGCACATCCTGGTTTTGTTTGCAAGCATCTGGCTGTCGGCATAACTCTTGACTCCACCAACCGGATCACACATCTTATGGTGGTGAGCCTCTCCCCTTTTCCAGATCACCTATTTCCACCTGACCTAGGGAATTATCCATCCCATTTTAGATACATCTTCAGGAAAAGAAAACTCTCATTCTCTGAGATGACTGTTTCCTGAGTACCCTATGCCACTGACAACTCTGATATTTACTTTAAAAATATTTGGAAGATGTAAGGGACAAGCAGAACAATATAAAAATGCCACTTTCATATAATTTCCATCTTCAAGTGGAAAAGTTTACTCATGACTTTATGCAAATGAGCATAAAGTTCCAAAGAATCCTTCAGATGGAATGGGTTATTCTGCTTTTTCTTGAGCCCAGGAAGCTGCTGGGGACAGCATGACACCTGCTGGAAATAGGACTAGATGTGTTCGACACAACAGGAAGTAGTGACCAGCAGAGCTTGCCCTGACCTGGTTACAAATCTGGTTATAAAAGAAAGCAGCTGGAAAGAAATTTGCATGTCCAATAGGTTTCACTATTAAAGTTTACACAACGTGGAATAGTCAGCCAAGCTGGCTGGCTCCCCAGATCACATGATTATGTAGAAACATGAAACTTAGCTATGCGTTCGAGCAAGTTTTACTTCTCCCTGGTGCAAGGGTGTTTGCCAGCAGCCTGCACTCTCAGAAATCAGACTCAAGTGACTGGGGCCCTTGAGATCAAAGGTTTATCATGCTTCTCCCTAGGAGGGCCAGAGACTGCTGACGTTACCACTGGACGGTTATTTGCGGCTCTTATCATCACCAAAAGGAATGGACAAGCTTAATAAAATAACTGTCCCTGCCAGTCAAAAGTTGAGGTAAGATTTTCCCCAATCAATTTTTTTTTCTTCTCCTTCTCCTTCTGCTTTTTCCCAATGATCTTTCTGCATCTCAAAAAAACTGAAATCCTGGAATACTTTCTAATTCTAAGGCAGTGGGCGGCAACTGCCTTAGGGAAGTGGGCAGGATTTTTAAAGAAGTGTGGAGGAATAAGTGGGTTTGTTCTGGCTGGCTGTTGCCAATAATAAAGTATAAAGCTCTGGAGAGGAAATAAAAGAAATGTCAAAAGTTTAAATTCTACAAAAGGTCAGCTTTCAGAGTCTGAATATGGCAAGCTTTTGCTAAGGAATAGTCTAATCTGGTCCTCAATAATTTCATTGTAGATTGCTATGTAATGTGAAGGGTTGTTGTAATCATTTTATTGATTTACTTTGTGGGTATATATCACACGTGTTTTGGGGAGATTGGGTCTGTTTTTCTCATGTCCTTATGTTAGTGTAACAATTATCTATAAAAATCCACTTAGAACAAATACAACAGAAATGACCTCAGGGCAATAATCAAGAAACTTCTTTGATTAATGGAAAAGATAACTTCCCAAATTTTGAGTTTGAAAGTCTTCTTTTTGTCTCATTGTAAGGGCACCATGGTTTTTGGAGATTGGGACTTTTAAAATGTTCAATGATTGTTTTATATTCCAACTACCATTTGAACTTCAGTTTTTCACAGGTGTGACTTGTGTAGCAAGTAAGTTATTACAAATATCAAGGAACTAAAACTTTCGAGACCAAATTTAAGAGCAATTAGCCGGGCATTGGCAGAAGAACAGTCCTTCATAGTTAGAATATGGGCCGTATGGCTGGCAGGTGCGTGGTAAATGCAGTTGGAGGTGAACTTGATGTGAAATCAGTAGGCGGTATCACAGGTCAGCCATTTTGAGGACACTTTGTTGGGTGTCTGTGTCTGATCTGCAGGGACAGGGGACAAGAAGGCACTCTGTCAAGCCCTTGGTCTCAAGTTCCTACTCCCTCATGGTAGGGGTGCCAGGAAAACCATGGAAGTAATTATATAAGAAAGGAATTAGGGTAGGTGGAGAAGGTTTCAGGGAGAAGGTGCTTGCTTCAAGAGCTAGGCTTTGAAAATATCTTCTATTCGGTTGGTTGTCTTTTTGTTTTGTTGGTGGTTTCTTTTGCTGAACAGAAGCTTTTTAGTTAGATATACAGATCATGTATCACAGACTTGAACACTTGAAACCTACATAATCTTATTAACCGATGTCACCCTAATAAGTTTAATTTTAGAAAAGAGAGCTAGGCTTTGAGAGGTAGGTGAAAGAACAGTAGAAGGAAAGCGTTATGTGCTGGGAGGAGCTGACACATGGAGCTGGACTTCAGAAGGGTCCATTGTGAGATGATGAGAGCAGAGACAGCAGAGTAGGGTGTGCTTGAGCAGAAGTTCCCGATAAGGCTGGATGCATGGGGTGGGGCGAGATTACAAAGGACAGTGAAGACAAGGTTAGAGAATGGGTTACGCTGTTAGAGGTGTCATGACAGCAAACTTATGGGGAGCTGGCAGAATGGACTGAAGTGGGGTGGAGGCAGGGAGACTCAATAGGTGGGGCAGTTAAGTAAGCTAAGCATATAGAGTTGCAGGCCTGGATTTGGGGCCCAGCAGTGAGAAGGGAAAGGGAAGAAGAGGTAGGAAAAACATGCCAAAGAAACTAACAAGGACTGGATCTTAGGGCTTCTCTCAAATGAGGAGGGTTTTCAAAGGTCATTCTCAGAGGTATTTCATAACCTGGAGCTATACTAAGTCTTAGTATACAAACGGGAATTTAAAGAAAGGCAATAAACATAAATCACTTGATGATCCCTCCCTCTGGGACAAAGTCCAGCTTGATCATAGAGTGGTCATAGGTAATATACACTCATAGATTATGGGGAAGAAAAACAAAATTATATTGTGGATAATCATACACTACACTCATCGGCTTTGGCAGAAATAACTTTTTTTTTTTTCCACTTGGTTACTCAGTTGTCTTTACAGAATTGGCAAAGTGTGCACTGTCAACGTGGAACTTTTGAAAGAAATGAAATTGTATGCACAATGGACTTAAAGCACCATCTTACTTCTTTTTCTGTAATTACATGGGAGAGTGAGAAATAGGTAAATGAAATACTTGATCCCTGTGATTTAAATTCTCTGTCCCAACTGGTTAACACCAATTCAAAATGTCTAACTGTGCAATTATTTGGCACCAGATGACAATATAAGTGGAGAGTTGTGTATATACACTCTTAGGATTATCAAATTTTATATGAGACTTTGCTTAAATTCTTAGCCACAAACGTAGAAAGATAGTGAGTATCTGTCAAAGTTGGCTAAAAGGGATGACCCTGATCTAGGGGATATATTCCCAGGGCTGAAAAAAAAAACCCACAAACAAACTGAAGCAGAAGGAGTGACCAGAAAGGAAGGAAAATCAGAATCAGAATCAGCCATGGAAAGGAGGGAAGGGAGAATTGGTTGGAAACAAGTGATCCTCAAAATGAAGGAGAAAGAGAAGGTTCTTCGATGAACACCATTGGGGATCAGTGTCACCCTGAGACTGTGCTGTGGAAGAGCTGAGTTATACTGGACCACAGAAATGCGTGAACACAGATTCTCCCCTTTTCTCTCTCATCGGGGCACTACAGGAAGTAGGTTTCTCTGTTAGTAGTAATTCATAACCCCTCAGGATCTTCTACTTGATTTTTAGCCATGATTTTCCCTGGATTTTATGAGACAATGATATCATCAGAAACCCAGCTCAGACCTGGGTTCTCAATCCTTCACAGTAAACATTCCCATGGTCATAAAAAGTTTACACTTCTAGGTAAACATTTCAAAACTTACAATCCTGATTACGTTGACTATGTTCTTTTCAAGTTAGTGAAACTGGTTTGTAAAAGGAAATTTTATATTTTTTTACTTTTAATAACCTCCGAGAGACTCATCATCTGTGCTTTTGTATTTTTCTTTGTAGCACCTGCAAACACATATTCACTTATTTTTACAAATGCAAAGGGTCTTGGACGTGAGTCTGATTAAGTCAAGTCTCCCCAGTCCTTATCTTATTGGTTACAGAGTACAGTAATTTTCAGTCAAACTGACACCTATGTAACTTTAGGGATATTTATTTAATTTCCCTGCTCCCAGTTTGTTTTCTGCAGCTGATAACTCAGGGATACTAACAGTACCGATCTCATACAGCTGCTGAAAGGATTAAATATATTATTTTGTATATTATTTTGTGAGACAGTGGCACCCAATGAATCTGGCACATTGTAATACTGGAGTTTAAAATGGTAGTTTTAAAATGATATGGAATCAATATCAATATTATTATTCTTGTTAATTCCATAGGATGCAATTGATTTTCTGAACATACACATGGGACTTTACGTTAATCATTGATAAATGGCATGTTAGTTTCAGTTCTCCTTTCTGGCTATTTTGGTGATTTTACCTGTTGATTCTGACATTTGTGGCATTAAGCTTTGCATGGACTGTCCATGTGACATCACCCCTCCTCCGCCTTCAGCTAAGAGGCTAATGAAATTGTTGAGTACGACAGAGCCCTGTCATGGGTGTCTGGGTTCAATGCTAGGACTCTCACTTGGAGATCTGACTTAACAAACTCTGGGCTATGACTTCTCTTCTCAGGTCATGGAATTCTCATTTGGAGTTTCTAGTTACTTGACATACCAATTTCTGAAGAAACAAGTTCACCTTCTTTTCACCTTTCTGGCACTAGTGCCCTCTCTGGTTTTCCTTGTTTCTGTCAATAGTGTCATCATTAACTCAAAGTCCTCCTCTCTCTGCACCTCCACTCACCTACCACACCCAACAGTCTTTCCTTTATGATGCCTCCATATATGCTCTTATCTTCCTTTTCTACCACAGCATCTTAGATAAAATTTCATCTCGCCTGTGTCCCACATCTACAAAACAAGAAGTTTGGGCCAGACAATTCCCAAAGTCCCTCTGAACTCTGTGTTACATTTTCTAACACGGTTATTTTATCCCATGACTCTCAGGAAATATTTCCTGAATGCATTATCCATGTATTTGAGACAATCTGTTTTCTTGTTGTGTTGAAACTGCCCACCTCTAACACTGGGGCCAGAGAAGGATGCTAGATAGCATCTGGATTAGATTATCTGGAAGATAACTGATATATTTAGAAGGACAATGCAATTGGAGCCTAAAAGGGCTGAGCTCCAGTTACTAGCCACGGGTCTTGAGGAAGTCACGAGGCTTTTCTAAGCCTCAGTTTCCTCAACTGTAGATGCCCTCCTCAAAGGTTTGTTGTGAAGACTGAATAAAATAACATGGACTGAAAACTACTTATAATATTTTTCCAGTAGCTCACGGTGAAGAGAGCAAATCTTGAATGCACAGGTGTCAGGGGGCATATCTCCTATCCTTAATAAGCTTAGGTTAGAGGCCAGTGCTGATGTGGGAAGGCAAAAAGGAGGCACCACTTCTGATGATAGAGATCCGATAGGCTTCCATTCTCCTCACATTGCATTATGTCATCTGAGAATCCTCTTGTGTCACACCGATGGATGGACTACTCAGACGAAGCCTCTTTGTCCTTATGGGAAGGCTACCCAGGAGCCACATTATTAGATATGTGCTATATGTGTGTGTGGATCTCAGAATCATCAGCTAAGAAAACTCATGGCACTCTTTCTCACCCACGGCTGTGCCAGGAAAATCTACACCAGAGTCCACATATCCAAGGCACACCCTCTCCTGAAGCCAAGGATCACCTATGTGCCATGTCTGAACAAGTCCTTCCTCTATGCAGCCGATCTCCAAATGGGCTATGATGCAATTAATTAGGTTTCCAAGAATTGAAGCGCAATTACATTCCATCCCTGCCTCCCACATCACTGGATTAGAGGAGACTAGGCTGGTATCAAATGCTTCAGACACACATTTACAGACAATCTGTCTCCCCATCCCCCCCCCCCCCACACACACACATACA